ACTGACTGGTACAAAATCTTGTTTCCAATATATTTAGGTGTTTTATTCCAGGTTTTTCTTGCTTGGCTTGGGTGGGCTGGTAAGTGACACTTGGGACAACTTCTGCTATGTCGAACTAACAAATCAGCTTTTTCCTTTGACCCTTCCTCCTACCAACTCTCTGCTCATCTTGACATCACAATGACATCACTAACCAAGGGACAATCTGCCCTCTGTCATTTTTGCCAATATTTAAATTTTTTAATAGATGTGTTATTTGGTGTTTTATTTGTGGCTTCATGGCTTCTCTTGCTTTGCTTGGGTGTGTTGGTAGGTGACATTTGAAACAACTTCTGCCATGTGGGACTAAGAGATCAGCTTTTTTATGTCGACTTTCCCTACTGCAGCTTATGGTCATATCACATTGAGACACTGGTTCAATGATGTTAAGCAATGTCAACTCTGGCTAATGCCTAAATGGTTGAGTGCTTGGGGATACCAGGTGCTGTAAACTTGGATGTGCAGGTGGTGTAATGGATAACAGTTCAGAAACGAAAATCTGAGAGCCAAGTTCCAATTCTAATTGAGTTTGTTATATTTACTAAGAAGCAAATACCCTTGGGAAAGGTATGAATTCATGTCTTCTCTTCCCATCTATGGGTTAATTAGAACTTGTATCAGTAAATCTTATCTGAAAAAACATTCTTACAATCTAAAAATATTTTCTGGCTTTAAATAATGTACAAAAGCTTGATAAGCCATAAAAAACAATCAAATCTACCAACTCTCTGCTCATCTTAATATCACAATGGATGGCTAGCAGCATGCACAGATGGCATCAGAACTGTCAAAGGTGGAACAAAACTTGCTACTTCAATCCGAACTGTAACTGTTAATATACACAGGCAACTGGAAATCGTCAATGTCCAGTTTGTTGTCGCTTGACCTCAAAAGCACTCATTTATTTATTCTTTTGTTCCAAGTGGGTGCTGCTTAGAAGATCCAACATCAAAGACTCCATCCACTGGCCATAAAACAAAAACACTTAAAATCAAAATAAAATCTCATACCCTCCCTTTCTATATGGTTATCCCAATCATAGTGGCACTTTGACATGGTGTAATGTTTAGCAAGCTTGTCTTGCTAGATCAATTATAACAGAATAGTGAGTTCAATCCTCACTGGGGATCCATACTTTTTGCCTTGTGCCACATCTTGTTTAGGAAAACATTATATCCAGATAGAAATTGTGGGTAAACTTTACAAAGTTCATGTTTTTATTTGAGTTCTTCTAATCATCTTGGCCATTATCATGAACTAAATGTTTCCAGTATTATAAATAAGTTTGTTTTCTATATCCTAGCATTTTTGTAATATTCCATTTCAACATATATATATATATATATAATTAATTATATATATAATTTCGTTCCAAGCAAGGCAATAATGGCACTAAGATGGTAGTTGTTACTGAAAGTAGAAGAGAATGATAAAACCATAGTATAGGGGAAGACCAATAAAAGAACGTGTTTCCGGAAGACAAAAGCTGGCGATTAATGTTGCATTTAAATTTTTGAGTATTGTCTGTGTCAGGGAAGCAAAAAACAAGAAGAGAGTTGCACAGATGAGAAAAGAAACTATTATAATCAAATTTACAGACCCAAATTTTAAAAGCCATTCCGTGTAGGGAAATATATTTAATGCATATTATTTCTTTTATATGATAATAGTTTAGAGTATTTTAAGTTTTTCTATACTGTGTATAGTATTTTGGTATGATTTACTTACCAATAGGCATTAAATGTTAACCGATATGCATTCAAGAATGTTCAACTTTCCCTCTCTCTTTGCCCCTTTTCACTTTCCCTCTCTCCTTGCCCCTTTTCACTTTCCCTCTCTCCTTGCCCCTTTTCACTTTCCCTCTCTCCTTGCCTCTTTTCACTTTCCCTCTCTCCTTGCCTCTTTTTCACTTTCCCTCTCTCCTTGCCTCTTTTTCACTTTCCCTCTCTCCTTGCCTCATTTTCACTTTCCCTCTCTCCTTGCCTCATTTTCACTTTCCCTCTCTCCTTGCCTCATTTTCACTTTCCCTCTCTCCTTGCCTCATTTTCACTTTCCCTCTCTCCTTGCCTCATTTTCACTTTCCCTCTCTCCTTGCCTCATTTTCACTTTCCCTCTCTCCTTGCCTCTTTTTCTTTCTTTACATATTTCTTTTCAATTTACTCCATTTTCATTATCTTATTTCTTTCTCTTCTACTTTCTTCTTCTACTCTCTCTTTTCTCTCTTCTACTTTTTATTTATCTTCCCTCTCATCTTTTCTTTTCCATCTCTCCTCTCTATCTCTTTAGCCTTATGCTTGGGTGGGGTCTGGATGTAGCAAAACCCTCTCACTTTAACATCAATGTTGATTTAGCCAAGTGGGTCCCAGAAAGCTTTACTCGATGTGACACTCAAAAGTGAAATTCAATGATAATGTTTCTGTTTCTCTCTTCTCCTTGTGTCATCCTTCTCTTCTCTGCTTTTTTCTTTTTTCTCTTCTTTTGACATTCTCTCTCTCTCTCTCTCTCTTGCTACTCCTTTTCTCCAATTTCTTTTCTCAGTGATCAAAGGTCACTCCATTAACAGGATTCGACAAAGTGTCTGACAAGTTCTGAGTTAAGTACCCAGTGTATGTATACAAGGAAGTAAATATTATCTTTCTGAAGTGACCCTTGTCATGATTTAATATGATGCTGGGGGGGGGGGAACAGATGGAAATTTAACCTTTGTCTCTCCTACCATTTTCATCTCTTCCATTACAATTTCTGTTCAAAGGCATCTTCCTTTTAAAAACTCAATTCTTCTGATAAAACAAAATTAACAGAAAAAGGAGTAAGTAAATGAGGACTTCAGTTAATCAATTTTCAATATCTACCTTACCACATGGACTATCTTTTTAAAATTGTTTCACTCCAATTAAGATAAAGGTATTAAAATCTTACCTTACATTTTCATTTAAATTTGACACAACGGAAATGTAGTTCTACATAAGGATGCTGTGAATGCCATGGACCAAACATGTGAACAACAACAAGGTTTTAGAGAAAAGGGAAACAAAAAGGAAACTTATACTTAACATCAAGAAGATATAGTTGAAGTTTCTGGAGGAAAATGAGGATGGAGGGCTTGGAAAATCTGATACTCACAGGACAGATTGAGGGACAGAGCAAAACAATGCATAACATAATGACCTTCAGTAAATGGATAGCAGAACAGGGTTTAGGGGAAATAGGAGATAAAATTCGTTAAGAGCTGTAAAGTACAGGAAATTGTGGAGAGCCATGTTTGCTTACATCCTGAGGTGACATGACATATAAAGAAGATGAAATTGATGAAGTCACTAAGACACAAAGAGTTACTGAGTGGGAAGGAAACTGAAAAGAGAGGACAATAAAAGACCATGCTTCTAGGAAACAGATGACAATTGACATTGCATTTAAATTTTTGAAGATCAAAATTGTAGAGGATACTTCTAGTCTTTAGAAATAATGAAATATTAACTGATTGATTTACATGTCTTTGCAAAGTGTTTCTGGGTTAATTTTATTCACTTTTGACATTAATTAAAGAAGGAAAAAAAATTTAGTCCTCTTAGATCGAATAAAAATAAACGTGTAATGTGTATACACACACACACACACACACACACACACACATTTATGAGTTTTATTACTGTAAATGTTATATTAGGTGGGTATACATGTGTTTGAGTAGACATCTGTGTTTTTTTTTTTTACTGTGAAATGTCTACCAGCGTAAAGATTGAGAAACCATTTTTAAGCTAATTTTACTAATGTACTTATCTTTGTTGTTATGCTCACAATGTTTCAGCCATTGCTCCCTCTGACTTTCATCATGTACCTGTCAATTCAGGTAACCTTCAAGGAATTTTGGACATAAACCTTTATTCTTGTTCCATTTACCATGTCTAAAGATATCTCAGTTATTACTTCCTTGATTTAATCTACAGGGGTAGTGTGTTCTCATTCCGTTGTCCATGTCTAGGGATATCTCGTCTTGTTCTTTTGTAGTATTTCTCAGTTATTTCATTCTGTCACTCCAATTAGCAAGCATACATGATTGTATTGTAATAGGTCAGTGAAGAATTCAGTGACCCGTGGAGAGACATGCAAATGTGTATGCTAGCAGCCAAACTGGTAACCCAGTCAATGACCTTGTTCCTCTCTTTCCCAGGATACTTAAACCTTTTTCTCACTTAGCCAGAAAGAAAGAATAGATGGATAAGACTGTAATTTTGGTAGAGCCAGAATACAAGCTGTTTCCTTGATTTTGACAAAGTAGATTCCTGCATTTGAAACAATGGTTTTTGGGTACTTTTATAAACATGTGGTCTGATATCATTGCAAAAAAAACAGGGGTGGTTAGGATTTTAAAATTTTGAAGAATTAACAAAAAAAAAAAAAAAAAAAATCGATACTATTCTTTAAAAAACAAAACAACTTTATATATTTATTGGTCTTACAACCTGAGTAATGAAATATTCTGTTGCTATGGTAACAGGAGGTACAGATAGACACCAGTTAGCAAATATCTCATTAATAAATAGGGGAGATCAGACTGCTAATACATTGTTTTTTTATTTCTTTTGATTAGCATTAGCTCTCTTTGGATATTTTTATTTGAATATTGTTAAAATGTAGAATTCTTTCTTACTTGTGGTGATAATTACTTGTATAGATCAAAATCTAAGATTCATAAGAGTAGGAAAGGAGAAATTAGTGGTTTGCCTTGCTGAATAAAATGCCCACAAATTGTATGTGTTATCTGCTGGGCAAACAAGTAACCAGGACAGGCACTTTTTCATCATGCCTGAAAGCTCATTTCCAGAAATAATTTTTTTTTTTTTTATTTTGGCAGCAGGGAGTGGGGTGACTCTTGTGGTGCATGATTTTGTAATCTACTATTTAATTTTATTTTAATTTCTTTTGCTCCCATGGACCATCTTTCTACCACACTTAAACATATGACTAAACAAATTGTAAAATTAATTAAGTTATCATTATTCTTTTTTCTTGTTTTCTCTTTCTCTTTCTTTTCATCTTTTCATCTTTCCTTTTCTTTTCGTCTCTTTCTTCTTTTCTTTTCGTCTCTTTCTTCTTTTCTTTTCGTCTCCTTCTTTTCTTTTCGTCTCTTTCTTCTTTTCTTTTCGTCTCTTTCTTCTTTTCTTTTTTTTTTTCTTTCTCTTTCTTTTTTCCTTTTTTCGTCTCTTTCTTTTTTCCTTTTCTTTTCATCTCTTTCTTTTTCCTTTTCTTTTCGTCTCTTTCTTTTCTTTTCTTCTCGTCTCTTTCTTTTTTTTCTTTTTTTTTCTTTTCTTTTTCCTTTTTTTCGTCTCTTCTCTTTTCTTTCTTTTTTTCCTTTTCGTCTCTTTCTTTTTTCCTTTTCTTTTCGTCTCTTTCTTTTTTCCTTTTCTTTTCGTCTCTTTCTTTTTTCCTTTTCTTTTCATCTCTTTCTTCTTTCCTTTTCGTCTTTCTTCTCTTTTCTTTCTTTTCGTCTTTCTTTTCGTCTCTTTCTTCTCTTTTCTTTCTTTTCGTCTCTTTCTTCTCTTTTCTTTCTTTTCGTCTCTTTCTTCTCTTTTCTTTCTTTTCGTCTCTTTCTTTTCTTTTCTTTCTTTTCGTCTCTTTCTTTTCTTTCTTTTCGTCTTTCTTCTCTTTCTTTTCTTTCTTTTCGTTTCTTTTCTTTCTTTTCGTTTCTTTCTTTTTTTTCATCCCTTTCTTTTTCTTCTCTGTTTCACCATTTTTCTTTTCACTTTCTTTCCTTTCTCTTTTCTTTCCCTTTTTATCTCTTGCTTTTAATCTTTCCTTTTTCTTTCACCAACAAAGTGACACTATATTTTTTCAGGTCCATTATGCTCCACTTTACTTAAATTATGGCAAATCCATACTAGTGAATTTTGGATGTTCCTTATTTTTATATTTTATAAAGATAAATTCCTGAAGGTGTTATATCATAAAGAAATTCAATATTGACCATGAATACATTGAAAATATGGTCTAAAATCTTCAAAAAAGAACTCATGGAAACTTAAGTTATTTTTTCTGGCAAGTTGTTAATACTGAATTTTTATATTTATGTATGTGGTAAAAATATATTAAAATTTCAAAGGGCAGAGATTTATTGCAAAAAGGTGAAATTTTATTAAAAGTTGCCCCCCAAAAACATCTGAGCTTCCCTTTGTGTATAATTTTTGGGCTAATCTGAAGCATAATGTAAGCTTTGAATTAAAAAAAAAAAAATGAACTACTTACAGGCAAATTTATTAATTGTGAATTGACTTTAAAAGTACCCAAGTAATACTCCTAAAATACTGTGCATATTTTATTTTATTTATTTTTTTCTTCAATGATTAATTAATAGTAGTTTATAGTTTAGTTTATTCTGTGGTTGCGTAGAAAAACTCAAATTACTGTCTCGTATCTAAGTGGTTATTTTATAATTGAGTGAAAGAACAATACCAGATTAAATCCTTGAAGATGAAATTTAGATTTTCAAACATTATTTTTGAAAGAAGTGTTGTCTTCTCCTCTGTGTGTGGGGAGGGGATTTGTTATTGGCAGGGCAGGGTGTGGTCTTAGTTAAAAACAAGTTATAGAAAAGTTGAGCTAGACTTTTGTTACAATTGGCAGATCTTTTTCTTTCTTGTGCTTGGGTAAAGGTGGAGGAGATGTATGCACATAGCTTATGACAGCAACTTGTCAATGCTAGCTTATTGTCAGTAACTGCTACACATCACTACAATTCTGAAACCGGGGGTTGGGGGGGGGTCGTAGCAATATTGATTATGTCACTCTTCATCTCTAATTTCCCATGTTTAAGTTTTGTGATGACAACATCGCCCCCCCCATGAACACAAATCAGCCATAAAAGTCTCTACTCCCCACCCTATCATTTAATTTCTTTCTTTCATCCAACTTTAAGATTCACATTTAATATGAACCATTTTTTCCTTCTCTCTTTTTCCTATATTTAACCAATGTATCAAAGTAATCTTTCTCCATTTTTTACAATCAAACTATAATCAGATATAAATTTTTAATGAAACTACCCCCTTCCGCCAACTAACAACTCACTTTTTCTCTTCCTTGTCTCCCCATCCATGGTCATCTTTGTTTTCCTTCACTTTTTCTTTCCATAGCCTCTATTAATCCATCCCCTCACCTGTCATCTTGTCTCTTTTCCTCCTCATTTCTTTTTCTGCCTCTTTCCTCCTCTCTGCCCCTTCCTTCTCTTCTCTTCACTCCCCCTTCTATTCGCTTCCCCCTTCTATTCGCTTCCCCTCCTCTTTCTTCTCCCCCCCCTCTTTCTTCTTTTCCCCCCCCTCTTTCTTTCTTCTTCCTCCCCCCCTCTTTCTTCTTCTCTTTCTTCTCCCCCTCCCCTTTCTTCTCTTAGCTCCCTTTTTCTTCTCTGCTCCCCCCTCCTCTTTCTTCTCTTCGCTCCCCCCTCCCCTTTCTTCTCTTCGCTCCCCTTTCTTCTCTTCGCTCCCCTTTCTTCTCTTCGCTCCCCGCTCCTCTTTCTTCTCTTCGCTCCCCGCTCCTCTTTCTTCTCTTCGCTCCCCGCTCCTCTTTCTTCTCTTCGCTCCCGCTCCTCTTTCTTCTCTGCTCCCCCTCCTCTCTTCCCTTCTTTTTTCCCCTTCTCCTTCCTTCTATTTGCTTCCCCCCTCCTCTTTCTTCTCTTCGCTTCCCCCTTCTCTTCCTTCTCTCTGTTTCCCCTCTTCTCTTCCCTTCTTTTTTCCCCTTCTCCTTCCTTCTATTTGCTTCTCCATTCTCTTCCCTTCCTTCCTTCCTTCTTTCTTTCCTCCCTCTTCCTGCCTTCTCTTTCTCTTGTAGTTCTTTTATAATTATACTCTCTTTCTATACAGCTTTCTGTTCTCTTCATCTTCCACTTTTTGTTTCTTCTCTTCCCCCTACCTAATCGGCTGTCATCAACTTTTGTGGTTTGTGTAATTTACTCATTCACTCATTTAGTCTGGAGGAGGGGGGGACTGATTTAGATTTTATAAATTTTAAACTATTGTAAAAGAGACAAGAAATCAGAAAGAGAAGCTATAGTAGATGTGTGCAAAAATTCTCAGCTCCAACCCACTTTTTTAAACTAGAAGCTAAATGCATGTAAAAAAAAAAAAAAAAAAAAAGCACTAAAAATATATGCTAGCATGCCCAAACTGGTAGTGGAACACTTTGGCTGAAAATATTGTTTTCTTGATGCGGGGGTGGGGGGGGTGGATGAGGTAGAGGTTTGATTCCTGTCAGAGGCTTGATTTTTCTTTAGCAGGATTTCTCAATTTATGCCGGTTGTTATTAATTTCACTGTTTAACAAAACAAAAAACAGAACAACTCAGACATGTTTGCCCACTAAAAATAATGTTTATAGAAATCAGAAATAATGTCAGATAAAAAATGTCTAAAAATCTTTTCAAAAACAATTACTTTTGTTAACTGAAGCTAACATATAGATTCATTGAAGTCGCAACGAGAAATGTACTTTCCTTAAATAAGTTATTCAGACTCCTACTGATATATCAATTACTTGGTTTGGTATAAGAGTTATCTTCCCTTGTTTTAGAAATGCTTACCAACCTCTTTGAAGTGGGATACTTTTGTTTTTCTCTGTATTCTGTGGAATGAATGAAGTATTTTATGAGAAAGGCAAGATTTGTATTTACTATTCTAAACCACATCTCTACACATTTACGCATGAGAAGGGGCACCTCGGTGTGGTGTAATGGTTAGCAAGCTTGTCTTGCTAGATCAATTACGACTGAAAAGTGAGTTTGATCCTCACTAGGTGCCCAATAATTTGGGCCTTGTGCCACATCTAAACTATGCTTAGAAAATAACCATTTATGTAGAAGGAGTCAATAAGGCTGACACACAAATTTTTGCTGTGTCATGATTAATATTTACTACTGGTTCAAGTGCATTGACAAGCAAAGCCGAACAGTGGAAAATGGCTTCTTATCATTTGGCTGCAGAGTTATTGATGTACCAGTATATACATACATGTGCAAGCTACCAGAAAGTTCAAGGAACTTAACAAAATGGCTTCTTTTTTCACCCTGTACAAGGCCCGGGAGTCACTCATGGTAGAGGGTTACAGAGTAGGGGGCATAGTTTATGTGCATAGGCGGGGAAGATAACTGCTAACCCTAGGCTTGAACAGGTTATAAAAAAATTACAGAAAATAAGTTTTTTTTTTTTTTTTTAATTCCTTGGTTGGATTGATTTTGAGAATTCTGTGAAATGTCTGGGGAGTCATGGAAAACAATGTGTAATTTATTCAAATTACCTGAACTTTTGAGTACCAATTTGTGCAAATATATATATATATATATATATATATATATAGTTGAAGATCAAATGTTGATCTCAGACAAGATGATAAAATAAAGAACAAGTAGGAAACGTATCTCTTTCACTTTAACTAAAGCTTCGTCAGAAATTGGGATAGAAATGAAAAAGCAAAGAGACACAGATTACTGGTATGTTATGATTTTTGATTAGTTCTTATTGGTCAATAGATAATATATAAATATGTGTGAGGAACATTTTGGACGTTAAAGTGTGTATGTAAAGAAATGCTTGTTTGTTTAGGTGTATGTTTAATTCATGTAAGTGTATATGTGTGTGTGTGAAAAATGTCTATAGATGTCATCCTCATATATGTCAGTTAAATGTAGCCAAATGCTGCAATAATTTTGTATTTGGTTGGATTTTTATATTCTTGAGTATTTTGGGAATGTGTATTGTCATCACCTCTGTGTGGATTGGCAAGATATTGTAATAATCATGTTTTAGTTGAATTTATCATTAAAGTATTTCTCATGCATATCTTTGAAAAGGATCCATTTATTTTCATTATTTTATGAATTAGATATAAATTAGATTCATGAATAATGGATCTGTAGAAAGATGGTGATGTTATGTAATGTTTTAAGTGAGTGTTTATAGTTAGTAGTAATGCTATAAATATGTTTTCATAATATTTTCTCCTTAAAGGGTTATGTTCTTTATTAATTAGGCTGGCATTAGTGAAATCAAAGTTATGTTCCACATCATTTTGATGTAAGACAAGATAGTTAGAATGTCTGTCTAAATGCAAATCTCTCTTGTGTTCCTAGATACAGGTTTTTAGATCATGTGATGTCTCCTCTACATAAATGTTTTTACACTGTAGACACTTTATTTGATAAGTTCCGGCATTTGAAATGATGTTTGCTTTATTTTTCTTCCTGATTATATCTCTGATTGTTTTGGAGGTGGTGGTAATGATCCTAGTGTTAGGGATGGCTAATTTGTTTGCAGGTTTAGTTGAAAAGGTGTTGGGGGGTGCAAGATTATGAATTTTGTGTAATTTTTGAAATTATCTTCTTCTTTTTTTTGCAATATGGATTTTGTGAACAGTCTGTCAACCCATATCTGAGAGGAGAAGAAAGGGATTCATACCCTTACAAAAGCTATTTGTGTATAAGTGAATGTATGAACTTGACTGATGGCTCTTAACAATCGAATATTACTATTACCATATTATAAAATCTGCTTTGTTGAAAAACAAAATGACAAAATATCTACAAGAAAAATATATGTACGTGCTTGTTCGTTTGAATGATTAAATATAAACAATTGGAATTTTAGTGAACCATTATCCTGCTTCTCACTTGGATCAAAGAATTGTTTGAATTGTTGTTGAAAGCTGAGAGGATAAAAACAATCAATTAAGTTTCTGTTTAAAGATTAATTGTTGGAAGAAAATTGAGAGAATGTATTGGTTGAAATTTTGTGATGAAAATGTCATTGAGGAGAATGCTAGTCCATGTAATTCATCAAATAATGACTTCTTTCCTTCTCTGATGTTGAAACATCTTTTGATCTCTCATTTAAGGCCATTTTCATCAATCAATGATGCAACAACACTAATTAATGTAAGTATCCAATGATCAAACGATTTTGGCTTAGACAAGGAAATTAGAATTTTTAGAATGAGAAATCATTTAAATTCCAACATGAGTCATTTTTAGTGTTCTCTGAGTTATCTAAATGGGTAACCTTATTTTTATTTTTTTATCATTTTTTTTTTTTTTTTTTTGCCTTAATAAGGGTTAGAGTTCATTTGATAATCATTTTAAAATGTTTCTTTTTATTGATAAATAAATGTTCATTTATTTTATATCTTATCACTCCTCCTAAAAAACCCCCAAAAATCAAGAACCTGTGTGTGTAGGATTTAGGATGTTTTCCAAAGTTATCTTTATCATTTTGTTTCTAACTTGTGTTTGATCAGATGTGTGTGTATATATATATATATATATATATATATATATATATATATATGCACATTTCATTAAATAATATAGACAAGTGTTGTCTATTTATTTTATGTAAAATTTTTTTGTAAATAGACAACACTTGTCTATATTATTTAATGAAACATGCATGAATGAAAAGATGCTGCCTAAATACACACACACACACACACACATATATATATATATATATATATATATATAATGGACTCTCCCGTCAGTTTCGACGTGTAGGATCTGACAGCTTATTGATTCAATCATGAAAGTTTGTGCGATAATCTTAAGTGGCATTTAAGACCCGCTAGTGATTTACAAAGGAGGCCACATATGGAGCAAGTGTGAAGATTGGGAGATGAGATCACTGTTAGATTGGCTGACCTTTTAGATCTTGCTCTTGCTTCTTGAAGATGATTCAGACAAGCAGATTGAAAATTGCCGAGTCCACTAAAACACGTTGATCTCCATTCTACCCACTCCAAGGCTAAACGCTCAAGGGTGTTATGTGGTATATTGACTGCTGACAAGTTGCTTTCCAGCTTGTCTTTGTGTGTGTGTATATATATATATATATATATATAGTGTGTGTGAATTACAGCGCATCTGTAAAGCAAGAAAATAATAAGAGGCAAAAGTATCACTTCTTGTTTTTGAAGATGTACAGCACATACGTCCATCCCAAACCATAGCAATCTAATCACAATTTAAACAATATTTATTAAAGAAAAAAAAATTCTTGAATATTACTCGCTTACTTTTGTCTTGCTAGACTTTGAGTTATGGCCCATGTCAGTTTGTGTACTCCATATATTTTGATTGACCTTTCAATCACCTGATGAATATTCATGAACATTCATAAATTTAAAAACCTTGATAAATCAAAGACATCCTTGCTCTCGTATATAAACATGTGCATCAAAATAAATCCTACATTTGTCTTAAGAAAGTCTCTCAGAGGATGAAACACAAGGGCTAAGAATAGTTTTACCTCTTGTCTTTTTATTCACACACACACACACACATACACAATGTGTGTGTGATGTTTTTTTATAAGCAATTTAGTATTTTGACAGGTATTTGGATTGCTTCATTTTGCACAAGAATTAATCCTAAAGTCAATTAAATGGTTGCTTAAATTTTTTAGAATTGAGTCTAATCTATTGAAATTGTTTTTTTCTATTTATCTAAACTTGTAGAATTGAGAGAATTTTATTAGTTTCTAAGTATAAGCATTGTTTTTCAATGTTTATACATAGAACCAGAAAGGTAAGGTTGAAATTTCTTAGGACATGCAATGAGAATGGGTGGCTAGGAGAATTTGTAGGGAAGAGAAAAATGACAAGTAACCTACCTAAGAAGCTTGGGTAAATGGTTGGGAAGAATATTAAAAAGACAAACATTGGTAAGAGTTACAAAGGATACAAACTTGTGGAGAGGCATGATCACCCAAATTTTGAAGGTAAATGGCACATTGAATAATAATAATAATAATAATAATAATAATAATAATAAACATTTGCAGAAGAACAAGTCTGTCCAT